GAGTGTTTCAACAAACAGATGCAATGATGATGTGTTCATCAGTCTCTGCCAACAAATAAGGAAGACAGCTAGTTGGCCAACTGACTGCAAGCCATATTTGTTCCCATTCAAACAAACAAAATAAACAGTGATCCAACAAAATGTTAAGATTATCAAAACAGTGTCATTAATATCAGATGAGAGTAAAATCTTACTGAAGATTATTCAGATATAACTGAAACAATATAAGCACAGGGAACTTCCAGAAATTCAAGTTAGATTCAAAACAGATTGTCGCACTAGAAATATGATTGTCAGTGTCAGATGGATCTTGACTAAAAGGAAAAGGAATACCAGAAAGATGTTTACTTGTGTTTTGTGGACTATGCAAAGATATTCAACTATAAACCACAACAAATTATGACCCAATGGGAATCTCAGAGCACTTTAATTCTGTTCATATGAAACACATATAGATGAAGAAGCAGTTATCTGAAAAGAACAAGGGAATAGAGTATGGTTTAAAATCAGAAATTGTGTGTGTCAGGATTTCATCCTTTTTCCATGCCTGTTCAATCTATATACTGAACAAACCCTTTTAAAAACTACAATATATGAACAAGAAGATAACATCAGGATTGAAGAAAGGTTCATCAATTTTGTGCACTATGCAGAATACACGTATTGCTTGCAGAAAGTGAAGAAGACTTGAAGAACTTTCTGAAGAATATCAAAGACTACAACCTTCAATAGAGATTACATCATATCATCAAGAAAACAAAAATCATCACCACTCTATAGGCATTATCAAGATAAATGGAGAAAAGACTGAAGTGGTCAGTGATTTTGTTTTAGTTGGACCACCGTTAACATCTATGTTAGCATTCAAGAAATTAAAAGATGTGGTCATGGTGTTATCAATTACTTGTCATGTTTCTGATATTTGGACAATGAATAAGGATAAAAAATAAATCAAAGCCTTTGAACTGTGGAGTTGAAGAAGAGCAGGTTTTCCCCCTTTTCTTTTGAAATAATTGGTTTTCTCCTCTTTTTATTAATTTGCATACAATCATTTATATACAGTCTTGTGTTTTATTCAATCATTTGTATTCATTGTCTTTTATTTAATTAACTACTATTGATTTATGTCTATTATTACCATCTCTTTTGCAGTCTAGTCTCCATTGAATCTTTCCTATTTCTTCATCCTCCCCCTCCAGCCACTAACCTCTGCTATCTTGGTGACTTCACCTTTCTCATTTTTTCGCACCTATTTTCTCCTTTACCCCTTTCCCTACTGAACATTTATAAATATCTTGCTTAGTTATCCTCTTACTTTCACAGTAGTGGTTTTCTGCAGAACTTATGTGACTGAGTTATTTCACTCAGCATGGTGCTTTCTAGACTCTATGATGTATCTTCCAAAATCATTGTTTCTTGGTCTACATAGTATTTTTTTTTACAGAGGTTTTGGATTTCCATTCATTCATTGCCGCAATTTTCTCCCTTCCCACCCCTCCCCACCAGCTCGCTTCCCCCTCCGAAGAGAGAAAAGAAAAAAAAGAAGGAAAAAAATTCCTTCATTAGTATACAATTCCCACATCCCCACAATTTCTCAACCCATTCTTTGGTTGATGGATATTTGGTTGCTTCCATTTTCTTGCTATTGTGAATAACACTATGAGTGTAGGTGTACCTATCTCCATTTGTGTTTCAGTTCTGATTTCCTTGGGATATATGTTCAGCTTTTTTAAGGAAATGTCAAACTGCCTCCCATAGCAGTTGTACCGTATTACAATCCCACCAACAGTATATGAGAGTTCGAACCTCTCTATAGCCTCTCCAGTATTTATTGCTTGCTGTGTTGTGAAACTTAGGAGCTGCTTAAGTGAAATGGTATCTTGTTATTGTTTTAATTTGCAATACTTTTATTGCTAGTGATTTTGAACATTTCTTTATATGTTTGTTAATCATCTGAATGTCATCTTTTGTGAAGAATAACTTTCATAGTTTTTGCCCATTTTAAGATTAGGTTATTATCCTTTTCCTTGTGGAGGCCGTTAAGTATTCAATAACATTTAATTATGAGACCTTTGTCTGAAATATTGTCAGATGCTTTTTTCCAGTCTTAGGCTTTCTGGAGAAAATTTTTGATACAGACTGGGATTTGATTTTAAGAAAGTCTCGTTCATAAATTTTATCCTCTTATGGATTTGCTTGCATTTTTGGCTTTGCTTCCAAATCTATTTATGCCAGAGGCTTGTTGTTGTATGGTCTCTAATTCATTTGAGTTGGTTTTTGTGTGTGGTAGGACATGTGAATCCTGTTTCAATTTTCTGCAAGTAGATGTCCAATTCTGCCAGCCCTATTTGTTAAAGAGGCTATGTTTTCCCCGTTTAATGCATAGGTTGATTTCTGGATTCTTAATTCTATTTCATTGCCCTACGTGTGTGCCATTGTACCAATAATATGCTGTTTTAATTACTGATGTATAATCGGGTTTGAGAGCAAGGAGTTAGATGCCTCCTACTTAATGCTTGTTTTTCAAGAGTTTTCTTATTCTGAGTCTCTTTCTTTTCCAAATAAACCTGAAGATTGCCTTTTCTATCTCCTCAAAGTATAGATTTGATATCTGTATTGATATTACATTGAGTCTATAGATTGATTTTGGTAGGATTGTCATTTTTACAACACTTAGTTTTCCTGTCCATAAGATCAAAAAGTAGGATTTGTTCAAGGAGTAAGAAACACAAGTTCAGATGATACTATTTTACCCATATCCTCTCATATTTGACACTCTAATATGTTACCCATATCATCTCATAAGTAGCAATAATGAAATATTAAGTTAACCTCTATGGTCATATTGTTGTTAGTTGCCATTGAGCTGAGTATGACCCATAATGACCCTATAAAGAACAGATCTGAACTCTGTCCTATCCTGTGCCATTCTCATATCTCCTGACACACTAGAGCCCCTTGCAGCAGTCACCATGTCAATCCACTTGATCAAGGGTCTTCCTCTCCTGTGCTGACCTTTCTGAGTATTATACCCTTTTTAAAAGAATAACCCCTCCTAGCAACATGCCCAAAGTTTGTTATATGAAGCCTCATCATTCTTGCCTCCAAAGAGCACTCTGGCTGCACCCTTTCCAAGACATATTTGTTTGTTGGTAAACAAAGGCTTATAATTTGTTGATAATCTATGCTTATAAATTGCATCACATTTTATATTTCTGTATTTCAAGTTGAGGTTTTACTTTACCTCCAGTCTGGTTGGATCCTTGAATTGTATTCCTTAAACAAACAACTTATAGTCAGGTGGACTGTTCTGAGTTCTCTGTTTCTCCAGATTGCCAAGAGCAGTTCATTTTGGCATACAGATATGTAATGTTTTCATTACATAGTGTGATCGTTTCCTAAAGAAGCATTACAAAAAAGATTTCTTCAGAGCAACCATGTAAATGAAAACTAGCTCTTGCCGGGGGTGGGCAATTCATACCAGAACTTATGGGTAAGTCAAGAATACATCTTGATAAGTTTCAGCCAATAATAACTTACATATATACCCTTGGGGTTTACCAGGACTTCCAGCAGGAAGAAGAAGAAGCCACAAGGACATTTGTCTGAATAGTTGTTTCTACCGTTAGACTTCATTATCCTTGAGTTACCTCTTAACCATTTCCTGCTCTCTCCTTTGCTTTCTTTCACTGGAAATCTAGAGTTTCTTCCTCATCCTCAAAAATTCTAGCAATTTTTGCTCTAAGAACTTAAAGATATACAACTGTACAAGTAGATTTTTTTTGTTTGTTTAGAAATTCCATCTCTGTTTTAATAAACACATTCTTTCCAGGATAAATGTTGCATATTTGGAATGTATTTATATTGATGAGAACACATTTTATCCCCAAAAGGCTGTTGTTGCTGTTTGTTGTTGTTGTTGTTAAGTTCTGACGAGTTGTAGGTGACTCATAGCAACCGTTTAAATAAAAGTCCTCAACACTTGTGTGACTTTCATCCTTACTCCAGGTTCAAAGGGTTTCTGGAGGCAAGCAATTGTGGAAGTGGATGCCACTCCTGCTTCCAAGCTTGTTTTAATCGGGTAGCACCACCAAACATTGTCTGCCATGGGTAATCATTAACACATTTGACACATCAGTGTCACAGTGTTCAGCTTCATAGCTACCACAAGTTATCTTTGTTTTTTGTTTTGTTTTTTTTTAAGACAAATACATATGGTTTATTTTAGTCAGAATCAGGCATTTAATGGCATATGACAATCCACGTTTTCCTTTCCTCTTCCAAACTTCACGAACTTAAGACTCAAATACTATGCAAGACATTTTAAGACTTACTTTGGCTAGCTTCCCCACTCCCAAAGGAGATTAAAAAGTAGTCATGTAAAAAAGTTAAGGTTAAAGTATTTCAATCTCACCGCTAATGACTGACCATTTGTTTACTGGTGACTTGTGCTCTACCCAGAAAACTGCGGAGCTGCACTCATGGATAAACAAATGGTTAGTTATCAGTTTCCCTGGGTGATTGTCCCCGAAGATAAGCCTTACCCGGGGTATACAGTAGGCACTTTCACTGGGCCATCACCTTGACAAGGTTCAGTCCAACATTTGGCTCTCAAAAGCAAGATGGGGAATTCACAGTCACACAGTCTGCTCTGTGATTCTGGGACTGACCTGGGACTTCAGAGCACTGCTGTGAACATCGGCTATTCTGGGGAACGTTGAGGGGTGACAAACAGGTGGCTTGTCTGCTGTGGTCTTGGGTGTGACAGCCCACTCTGATTTTTTTTTCCCTTTTCATGCCCTATGTGATAGCTCAGCTAAACAGAATGATGTCCAAATATGGAACAAGCAGAATGGCACAGGTATGACAATAAAGCAAAGGTTGGGTGTAAACCACCAGCAAGGCTGCACTGATGGACTACAGCTCTGTATGTAAAGAAAGACATCCCTCATGCTCAGCTGCGTGCACACAGCAGTGTCCTTGCCTGACAGCCCGCTCCCCTAATATACCTCATCAGTATCTTCTCCTGCAGTAGCAGCTTCTAGAGCAGCAAGCGCTTCCGCCACTGCTGCATCCTCCTCCACCATCTCTCCATTCCCATCCCCACTGCAGCCATGGACACCCTCCTGTCCACTTTTAGCATCAACCACAGGCACAGCATGAGCAACGTCCTCCTCTTCAAAGGAGCCACTTAGAACTTGTGTTGCCATGCCCTCGCTCAACGAATCCCACCTCTCCCTAGTAGACGGATCCATGCCATGAAGGACAATGTCATCCAGATGCTCATTTTCTGCGTGGTTCTGGAAAAGACAATCCTTTTCTTCATGATCACTACTGTCTACAGCTGAGCCCCAAAGTTGAGGGTAATCCGGAGCTGGTATCTGTATGATGTGGTCTTGTACATCCAAGGTAAGACTTTCTGTATTAGAAGATACTCCGGAGTCTCCATTTTGGATGACATGGGTGTCTTCTACAGCTGGTAACACACCATCCTGTTTCCTGGTGTCCCCTCCTTCTAGGAAGGGAAGCATCGGGAGACTGTCATTGGCAGTATTGTCCAAGGAGTTCTCACCGCTCTACTGGGGCCTGGGATTCCCAGTCGGTTGCAAAGCAGCAGCGGGGCCAACCCCATTAATGGCACCATCAGCCTTGTCCCCACTGTGGCTCCCTACTGGGTCTCCTGGAGGGAGAGGTCCCCGGTGAGACCAGCGGGGCTCCCGGCCACTGGCTGTTCTGCTCCGGCTCTCAGTTCTCTTTAATCCCTCACTTTGAAGGTCATTTTTATGCACCAAGACTTCACTGCTCTGTCTGTCTTTTAATTTACCACAAGTTATCTTTGTACAGCAAGTGGACACACCAGGGCTATATGACCTAGAAGAATGTTTGAACAAAAAATAATGAAAAATAGGCCAGAAGGCCATAGGCTGAGGGCCCTTCAGTATTTTACCATTCCGGCGCGCCTAAATGCTGGTGACCTCTGGGCCAGAGACCCCCAGTTCATCTGGCAAGTCTGCTCTGCCGACACCTACTTGTGACAAAAAGAAAGCCACAAGGGCCCAAGCTGCTGGCTTCTCTTCCAGGAGTCAGAGGCCCCTCCAGCTGACTCTAAGACTCCTAAGACACATGTCCTTACCCTGTAGGCATGGCCCAACATTTTTTAATTTTATCAAAAGGTTGTATGTCAGGATATATTCTAAATGTTCATAGGTCAGGTTTTAGAAGATAAATGTGATTTAATTCTCTAAAGTTACTGAGAAAGCTGTTAGTAGAACATTTCCAAAGGCTGCACTCAGTTGACGTTTTTATCTTTTTATTGAGTTGAAATTGGACAGAGTAAAGCATTTAATTGACAAATTGAGGCACTAAAAATAAATGTGAATTTCATATTCAGCTAATAAGCGTAAAAACCCAATTATGTAGAAATTCAGTCAAAGAGAAAGATGGAAACAAAATTAAAGGGAAACTCTGTGGGAATAAAGGGTATAGGAACACTGAGAAGTGGGAAGGAAACATGGTATGGGAATTCAGACACTTATACTGTGGATATTGACTTTTCACATTCCCAACAGACCCACACCAACATACCTACACAGAACAGATATTTGACTGGGATAGCATTGATAGTTTCAACTGCTAAAACAATATAATTCCAGTGTATCCTTTATGCTGGAGATCATCTATTTCTTAGTTTACAAGTTCCCATTTTCTCTTTCCTACTTTCTTGTCAGGCTTGGTCTTATAGAAGAAAATGTCTTGACATTTTTCAGGCTGCAACTTGTAGCAAACCTGATGGCCCCTTATAGCACAAGGCTTCTAAGGTTATCTTTGAAACCTGCTAAATTTTCTGCTATCCATCACATTCCTGAGAAATATGCTACTCTCTTTGCTACTCCTACCACTTTCAAGCCCTCTTCTTACAGGGCATACCAGTATAAGACAGTTCCTAAATGGATTATGTAGTCCATAACTGCCTTCCATATTTAGGGAACAAGACATACACCTCTCTGAAGCATTAACTAACAACAGCAATCATCGTGCAGATCTGCTTTGTCCAACTATACAGGAAAGAAAACTAACCAGAATCAATATCAAAAGTCTAATGGAAGACAAATTGAGTCCAACTCTATCATTTGAAAGAATAAGGGTGCTGGGAAAGAGAGGTAAAATGGAATGTAGGGAAGACTGAACTAGGTGGGAATAGCAAGATCCCTTCATAGAGTGTCATCCTGAATCTATCACTCTTTAAAGGTAATGAAAATAAAATCACTTTTGTTAATTTCATCAACACAGAGAAGAAAGACAAGACTAATTGGACCAATGTGCCATGTTCACTCCATGAACTGGGAACTATAAATTGGACCTCCAGAAACTGTACAGTCACTGTATTAACAGTTTTATCATATCACTAATACCACATGAATCGTCCACGAAAAATGCAAAAGATCATTACAAAAGCTGAAAAAGAAGAAAAGACCAAGATGGATGTCAGAATATTGCATTAGAGTGCCAAGAAGCCAAAGCTAAAGGAAGAAACCAAGAAATCAAGGAGCTAAACAGAAAATTTCAAAAGGCAGCCCAGGACGGCAAAGCAAGATACTATAATGAAATGTGCAGAGAGCTGGAGTCAGAAAATCAAAAGTGCCGAACTCGCTCAGCATTTCTTAAGCTGAAGGAGCTGAAAAACAAATTCAAGCCACGGGTGGCAATACTTAAGAATACTTTGGGTAGAATGTTAAATGATCCAGGAAGTACCAAGAGAAGATGGAAGGAATACAGAGTCACTGTATCAGAAGGAATTGGCTGACACAGAAGAATTTCATGAAATGATAAATGAGCAGAAAGAGCCTATGGTGATGAAGGAGGAAGTTCAAATTGTTCTGAAGGAATTGGCCAAAAACAAAGCTCCAGGAGTTGACGGCATACCAATTGACATATTTCAACAGACAGACACTGCCCTGGATGTGCTCACTAAGTTGTGCCAAGAAATCTGAAGAACAGCTCGCCCACTGACCTGAAAAGATCAATATTTGTTCCTATTCCAAAGAAAGGTGACCCAGTGGAGTGCGGAAATTATCGAACAATATTATTGATATCACATGCAAGCAAGATTCTGCTGAAAATTATAAAAAAATGTTTGGAACAATATGTCAACAGAGAACTGCCAGATGTGCAGGCTGGATTTAGAAGAGGTCGTGGTACTAGGGATATTATAGCTAATGTTAGATGGATCTTGGCAGAAAGCAAAGAATACCAGAAGAATGTCTATCTGTGCTTCATTGACTATGCAAAGGCTTTTGACTGTGTGGATCACAACAAGCTATGGCTGACTCTGAGAAGAATGGGAATTCCAAAACATTTGATTGTGCTAATGCGAAACCTATACTTGGACCAAGAGGCAGTCATCAGAACAGAGCAAGGAGACACTACACGGTTCAAAATCAAGAACGGGGTCCTTCGGGGATGTATTCTGTCTCCATACCTTTTCAATCTGTATGCAGAACAGATCATCGGAGACGATGGGCTGTATGAAGAGGAGTGTGGCATCAGAATTGGTGGAAGAGTCATCAATAACCTGCATTATGCAGATGACACAACCCTGCTTGCTGAAACTGAGGAGGACCTGAAGCACTTGCTGCAGAAGGTCAAGGATCGCAGTCTCCTATATGGATGGAAGCTCAACATCAAGAAAACAAAGATTCTCACCACTGGGCCAATTGGCAGCATCAGTATAGATGGTGAAGAGATTGAGATAGTTAACAGTGTTAGTTTGTTTGGCTCCACAGTCAACACTCTTGGTCACAGTAGCCAGGAAATCAAGAGATGAATTGCATTGGGAAAGTCAGCTGTGAGGGACCTCTCAAGAGTACTGAGGAGCAACAATGTCAGGCGGGAGACTAAGGTGCACCTGGCCCAGGCTATAGTCTTCACAATTACATGCTATGCATCAGAGAGTTGGACAGTGAATAGGGATGATAGAAAGAGAATTGATGCCTTTGAGCTGTGGTGCTGGAGGAGAGTGTTGAATATACCATGGACTGCTAGGAGAACAAAGAGGTTTGTCCTGGAGAAGGTGAAGCTGGAATGCTCCTTCGAGTAAAGGATTCTAAAGTTTTGTCTGACATGCTTTGGGCATGTTGCAAGGAGGGGACTAGTCCTTGGAGAGGGACATCATGTTTGGCAGATTGGAGGGGCGGTGAAAGAGAGGAAGACCTTCAGTGACTGGAGAGGTGGGAATAGGTGCATTTGAGATGGCTAGGTTAGCACAGGATAGAACAGCGTTTAGAGCTATTGTACATAGGGTCACTATGAGACGCAAGCGACTTGATGGCACATAACAACAACAATACCACATGCAAATAAATCTCACTGAAGATTATCCAAAAATTAAACAGTATATCATTAGCGAGCTACTAGAATAGTAAGCAGGGTTTAGAATGACACACTGGGAGTATCATTGCTGATTTCAGAAGGATCTTATCTGAAATCAGAAAATAACAGAGAGATGTTTGTTCACGTTTTATTAACTTTGGGAAGACATTTGACTGTGTGAATCAAAACAAATTATTGCTAAGCATTGGGAAAAGTAGGGATCCCAGAACACTCAATTGTGCTCATGTAAAACCTACACAAATACTAAGAAGCTATCCTCTGAACAGAGCAAGGGAACACTGAATAAATGACTTAAAATCAAGTAAGGTGTGCATCAGGATTGTATCCTTTGCCTATACCCTATTCAATCTGTATACTGAGGAAATCATTCAAAAAGCTGAACTTTATGTAGAAGTATGTGGAATTAGTCTTAGAAGATTCATCAAAAAGTTGTTCTATACAGATGACACAACTTGGTTTACTGAAAACAAAGAAAACCTAAAGTGCTCGCTAGAGATCAAAGACTATACCCTTCTATATAGATTACATCTCACCAACAAGAAAACAAAAATCCTCAACACCAGACCAATAAACAGGTAACAGCATGATAGATGAAGAAAAGATTGAAATTGTCAACAAGTTCATCTTACTTGGATACATGATCAGTACCCTCAATAACAGCAGTCAAGATATCAAAGATGGGCTGCTTTGGAAAAATCTTCGGTAACAGACCTACCCAAAATTATAAGAAGCTATGCTATCAGCTGTTGCTCTCTGGAGACTAAGGTCCACCTGATACAGGCCATGGTTTTTGCAGTCACTTGTTATGCATCAGAGTTGTACAATGACTAGGGAGGATAGAAGGAGAATTGGCGCCTTTGAGCTGTGGTGCTGGAGAAGAGTATTGAATGTTCCATGGACTGCCAAGAAAACAGATTCATCCTAGAAAGGGTTAAACCAGGCTGCTCCTTGGAGGCAAGGATTCTGGGGCTTCGTCTGACATACTTTGGACATGTTGTAAGGAGAGACAGGTCTTTAGAGAGGGACATCATGCTGGGTAGAGTGGAGGGACAGTGCAGGAGGGGAAGACCCTCTATGAGGTGGATTGATTCAATGACTGGGGTAATCGGGATGGGTGTGTCAGAGGCAATGAGATTGGCACAGGATAGAGCAGGGTTTAGGGCTGTTGTACATAGGGTCGCTATGAGTCGCAAACAACTCGACGGCACATAACAACAACATGATATTAGCTGAAAGATTAAAGTGCTCCTGATGTAATTTAAATTACTACCTGTGTATCTGAAACTTGGACAATTAATAAGGATGACAGAAGAGTAATGTGCATAAGAGGAATTGATGTTATTGATCTGTGGTTGGTGTTGGAGCAGAGTACTGAATAGCTCGTGGATTTCCAAAAGAACAAACAAATCTGTCTTGCAGAAAGTATAACCAGGGTTCTTTTTAGAGGTAAGGATGGTAAAATTTCATCTCACATACATTAGGCACATTGTTTTAGAAATGGACCAATCCTTGGGAAAAGATACCATGCTTGGAAAGTGAATAAAAGAGAGGAAGACGCTCAAAAGAATAGATTAACACTTACTTAACAATGGGCCCAATTATATTAGATCTTATGGGGATGGCACAGTTTTGAGCAAGATTCACATCCATTTTTCACAAGATCATTTTGAGTTGTAGTTGACTCAACAGAATCTAATAACAGATCTGGAAAGCAGTCCCAGGAAACTTTTTTAAGAAGTAGTGTGGGCTCCTGTATTGAACAAC